CCCCCCCCCCAGCAAAAGATCATCGCGAGGCTTTTTTGTCACAAAAGTGAGGCGAGCAAGCGGGGGAAGGAAAAAAAACGGCGCTGTTTCGAAACACCCCCACCACCGTAGTAGTTGATAAGTTTGCATATGAGAGCGAGGGATGTCCTTGTTCTGTTTTGTTGGAAGTAATGCAACGGGCGGTTTGGTGGGGGTCGGGGGGAGGGAGGTTGGGAAACGAACGGGCTGGGGAGGTGTTTGACTGAGGGAGAGGAAGAGGAGAGGGTGGTGGGAAAAAGAAAATGGAAGGGTGTTTTGAGATGGGGAGGGATGGTTACGCGTTTTTGTTATTGCTTTTTGAGGAAAAGGAAAGAGAGCGAGAAGTGCAAATTTCAGTCTCATTTTTTCAGGGCTATATAAGTATCGTGGTGGTTTACCGTGTGTATGTGCCGTTTCTAAATTATCGACACCGCTATGTACTGCGTTGAAAATCCATTCGTCGCAAATTCATTTCTGTTCCTCATCTCACGTCTCATTTTACAATCGTTTCCTGAGCTCCGGCCACGTCGTATCCATCATGTCATGTATCAGTACACTTCAAAACCGGTAACTGTACAACCCTCGTGAACATCGTCATCAGTCATCATTGTCATCATCGTCATCAAATACTCCTCTCACTCTTGCGACCCTCGGCGCTGACCCTGCTTGCACTCCTTGCTACACCAGGGTTAATTAAGCTTCCCGGTGCAGCCGGAACCGCCGCACCACCAGCCGTCATAGGCATGGGACTGGCAGCCTGCGCGAGTGGCATGGTACTGGCACTGTGGGCGAGGCCCGGTCCCTGCGCATTACCCAGCTCAGGGTCCACGCTGCCATCTCTCTTCTCCCATTCGTCCTTGGTATTCTCCTGATCGCTGCTGCCGTCGTCGTCTTGGCCCGGGTTAGCGACTTCGTATTCGAGAATCTTGATGAACTGGTAGAAGAGCAGAGCGAGGATAGCGCCGACACCGGGGCCCACCCAGTAGATCCAGTGGTCTTCATCGAAAACACCCGTTATCACGCAGGGACCAAAAGATCGCGCGGGGTTTAGAGAACCGCCGGTGTAGTAGACGCCTACGAGCTCACCGATAAAGAGAGCTAGACCAATTCCCACAGGCGCAATAAAGGTTGCTGTGAAGAAGAGTGTTAGTCGTTGTAGCTTAAATTGGGAGAAGTGCGACAGCAAACGTACCCTTGTGTTTCTCCTTTGCTAGCATAAAGATGGTAAAGACCAATTCTGCTGTCAACACAGCCTCAATCATTGTTCCCTGTGCCAAACTCGTTCCCTGACCCAAAGTCGTTCTAACATTGAAGTTCGTTGGAAATAGCACACTGACCAAGTAACTTGCAAATATACTACCGACCATTTGTGCCGAAAACAACAAGAAAGCTCGGATGGGGCTCAGTGCGCGACACAGCAGCATAGCAAACGTGACGGCCGGGTTAAACAAGCCACCAGAGATTCGGAAAAAGACCCAGACGTTGACCATGAGGGAGAATGCGAAAACAAGGGCAATGTACAAAAGAACAATAGGGGAGAAACCAGCGGCTTCACCTGTCGTAGTGTTGTCTTGGGGCGCAGCAGCGGACCTGATATTGGCGACTTGAGTGCCTGAAAAGGCAAAAAACAAAAACATTGTCGTGCCGACGAATTCTCCGACAAATGCTACAAAGTCTATCATGAGAGAGTTAGTTACAAGGCTGTTTGTTGTTTGCAGCCGATCATTATGGCAGACGTACGGTTCTTTGCATTGCTTCCCATCCAAATCATCCAAGGCAATCTCATTGCCACCTCTGCACTTGGAATTGGGGGTGGAGGCCCTCTACCCCCACCGGTACCCTGTGCACCGGAATATCGTCCATATGCCTCCTGATAGTATGGGTAGTACATCTCGTAGTTTGGCCTGCCAGGACTGTCTGCATAGGCAGGGTACGCATTGGCATCCCAGTTATTCCTAGGCATTACTCCATACCGTGCACTTTGCTCAGGGAAGTTGTTGTACGAAGCTGGAGGGCGTGTATGTTGCCTGTTGGTACGAAAGGGATCTGCTCGGGGTTCCTGACCTTCTTCTGGGTATTCCTCTACAGAGGGTACTGGGTGATTCGAGGAGTTGAAAGGTACAGTCTGAGATGCCCTTCTAGGACGTGTGGGCGCGAGCGGGGGCACACTTGGTGGTTCGGTTTCTACGTGAGGGTCAAGACGTCCTGTGTATGCTTGAACAGGTGTTCGTATAAACTCCTGCCTGGATTCACTGGATGGAGTGGGATTCAATGGTGCAGGAGAATCCACTATCGATCTATCAGGGGTTTGCCCCGTATAGAAACGACGGAAGGTACTGCTCGATCGCGACATGAATTGATTCGGTTTGTTGATGGTATTGGGTACAACTTGTAAATTTGTAGTATGTGCACAACCTCGGGAGATAAATTGACGAAGAAGTTTTGTTCGGAGATGCAGGATCCCTGTAAGTACTTTAGAATTGGAACGTTGAACAGAGCAGATGAACGTTCTTTCTGAGGGAACACCGAAGATCATATATGCTAATGACCAAGGCAATGAGGGAGACCCTGCCAGTGGCTTTTCACCGCCAAAATATGTCCGATACCGTGTCTTGAAAGTTCTCTCGGTGATGATCCAGCCTCCCTCACCAGGTCTCATTCGTCGATGGAGGCAACAGGTGGGCACCAGATCCAGGGTTTCCTATATCGAGTTCAAACCGATGATGCGAATGACGTCCTAGGCTGATTTTGAAACGGGAAGAATCCGAAGAAGCACTGTAGTAGCATGGGTAATGCTGTAAAAGGAGCATGCATTACCTGGTCAATCACGTGACAGACGCGGGATGAGATCTCCTGTAAGATAGCCAAGACGTTCGCAAGGTTGGTCGGGTCGGGCAAATTGTGGTACCGGAAGATCTTTGCGAGGCATGGGTAGTTGCATGCGGCTGTAGCGCGAACCAGGGTCTTTTTACAGGTGGCAGTAACAACGTTCAAGTTCTGTATAGGTGTAATGGAACATCCCTGTTGTACGAGTTCTTGGCAAGTCCGCCCTGTTTTTACATATGCACAAAAGCAAAACTACCAGCATCTTGCCACCAGAGGCGCGCCGAGATGGGCCGATAATGACGAGCGCGTAGCCGCGTGTACTTTCAGCCTTGAAAAGCTGCCATGGTGGCTGAATGTATAAAGTTGACGGACAATGTTGAAGCCGAACAGCCGCTGGCGAAAAGCAGGGCATGCACCAGACTGAGATGCTGGTGGAAGTCTAGTGACTCAAGAATTTGGCGAGAATCAGCGAATGATTCGTCGTCAATCGTTGAGCAAACTAAGTATTGCAGCGAAACGACTAATGGTCAAGTACGGAATGTGGAGATTTGCTTTGTCCGGAAGCAAATCTAGGGGTCCCTGATAAGCTTATGTAGTGAAATGCCGGGGGTTTGATCTCTCTCCGCATGACGCACACCCGCCAGCCACCAGGCATTATACCGATATGCTCGATCAAACTTGATTCCGATATCGCCGAGAGTGCAGAATGCATAACAGAGACTTTGCAAGGACAGACCTGACCAGTAAGCATAGATTTTGTCGTCCATATAGCGAGCCGACGTCAGCCTCCATTGAGTGCCCTTCCGTCCTGCCACATGATATATGTGTCTGAAGGAAGACCCCGGCTTGTGTAGTAGACATTTACTGCCCCTTTTTAATTTGCAAAGAGAGGCAACGCTGAGAATGCAAATTGAAGACGATAAGGAAGAAAAAGCTGACTGTCAAACTAGAAACTTGAAAAAGTGTGTTTATTTTATTTCGTCATAGGGGCATCAAAATGCATGGGTTGTCCCAGCGAAATGTGCTTTGGTAACGTCGGATACGTGTTTACTTCTGCTCGCCTTGGCCGGAAGCCTCGGACTCTTGGATGACTTGGTCGCTATATCACGGTTAGTCTGGTTGTACTTGTAGCCGAGAGTCATTGGTATCACTGACATGTGCTTGTCCAGCTCGTCCATGTGCTCCCTCTGCTGCCTAAGCTTCGCCTTGATTGCCAGGAGCCTGTGTACTGTCAGCAATACGTTCCAGGACATTTGCAAGTACCCTGCATATGATGCGATACGATGCGCGCAAAGCACCGTCCAGGGTACTGAGGTGGACGTACTTGGCCTTCTCTTCTTGACGGATGTAGAGCTCCTCGGCAGCAGCCTCACGCTTGGTGAAGGCGTCACTATCGGTACAGTTAGTATGTACTCAATTGGCCGTAATTGAGTCTGGGAAGTCTGCTTACCCGCCAGCGGTTCCTGTAGGTCTCGATGTGCCAGAGCCGGTAGCTCCCTCAGCCATGCGCAGAGCGGATGCGGAGAAGTAGCGGGGAGCGGCGATTGAGCGCGCGCTCTTGATGATGGATGTACGAAGCATTGTGTGTGTGTGTGTGTGTGTGTGTGTGTGTGAGGATTGTGCAAAGAGCAGGGGATTGAGGGATTGGAAGGTCTTGGTGTGGTCTTATGCAATTGAGTGTTGAGGTGGAGTGATCACAACCGATGCCTGGGAGCTTGGACGGCGTTGCGTCATTGGTCGACAGAGTCACGTGACGCGATCGTGGTGGCTCAAGGCAGACCCGATGCCCACTTGGACCCTGATGCCGTGCAAACTGGGCACGCCCGATGAGGCCGCAGTGAGAAGTCAAAGCGACTGCTGACTGGACATGCAACCGTGTTGCAGTATCAGTTTTGATAGCATTCTGGTATTGCATTTTCTGCGCAAGTCGTGGATCTACGGCCAAAAAACAAGTGCCATGGGGAGCGAGATGGGTGCGGCTGCATGCACAGCAACCACACGGGCATGGACTCAGCTCGAGCGTCCAAAACAAGTAATGGACACACGGTTGGGCCACGGTAGGCATGGTGCTCAATGGGCTCGCTGAGCCCATGCGTGTTTCGTCGAGGCAGCAAAGGGCGATGCCCAAGGCGTCGCGGCAAAGTCGAGTGCTTGTACTTTTGTAGCTGTCATCCAAGGCGTGTCCGGTGGGGCAGCCAGCATCTGTATGTCCAAGTGTATGTACACAATACCACCCCCATAGTGCATCTGTACATGGAGAGGTGCCTGGAATGCAGTCTGAGGAAGCCTTCAGCCTCACGGGCCCAAGGGGCACACACAGGCAGAAGCTAGGCAGACAATGGCCCTTCTGGCGGTGACTGGCTCTGTTCGCCTGTCAAGAGGCAAAGGTCGCGCTTGTTCTGGGCCGTGTGAAACGACCAAGGACGGGCAGGCGTGATCGACGCCAAGCCCAGTCGGGTTCTCTCACCCTCCAAACTCCCCTCCTCTGATAACTCAACCCCAAGCCGCCCTTGACCACAACTCCTCCACCTCGTTTTCTTGTCCTCACCACTTCGCCGTCTTCTGCAACCCACGCTTCTGCAAACCTACCCCCTCTCCACATCTACTTTTCTCTTCGTAAGTCAGTCACCGCATTTCGTCACGCACCCCCCCAAAAGCCGTAGACGGCTGCAATTTGCGCCCTTTGCCGCAACATCGACAACAACGACATCGCCACCCGTGCCCCCTATGACTCTCACTCGTCCAAACCGCCCGCACCCACACTCGCCATGGTCATTGTCGCGGCGGTGTGCTTCGGCGCTCTCTTCGGGGGGCCGTGAGTGAGAGCTTGAGCCGCCCCTCTTTGCGCCCACCGCTGTTAGGTGCAAAGGCTACGCAAGCAATTGCACGCAGCTCCACTTGCCGCATCCTCCGGACCCTTTATCACAGCACACCAAGCACCCAACAGCGACAACATCAGGGCGATTTTCCCTTCATCACGACAATAGCGCACACTGGGCGTCTTGCCGCTCAACAACTGCGATAGCAGCCGATTGCGCTCTGTCCGCGCTCTACACCAGTCCACGTCAGCTAACAGCCGTGCACGCAGACTTCACAATGGGTTACGAAGACTCCGTATACCTGGCCAAGCTGGCCGAGCAGGCCGAGCGCTATGAGGGTAAGCACTTGTGCCACAAGCCCCAACTCCACCAACTAACAGAATGGCGCAGAGATGGTTGAGAACATGAAGGCCGTTGCCTCTGCGGACCAGGAACTCTCCGTCGAGGAGCGAAATCTCCTTTCCGTTGCCTACAAGAACGTCATCGGTGCTCGCCGCGCGTCCTGGAGAATCGTCACCTCCATCGAGCAGAAGGAGGAGTCCAAGGGCAACGAGGCCCAGGTCGGCCTTATCAAGGAGTACCGCCAGAAGATCGAGGCCGAGTTGGCCAAGATCTGCGAGGACATTCTCGAGTGCCTTGATGGCCACTTGATCCCCTCTGCTGAGAGCGGCGAGTCCAAGGTCTTCTACCACAAGATGTAAGGGGGTTCGATATGTGCCATGTTTGAGGGCATTTGCTAACCACACTGTGCTTTTACAGGAAGGGTGACTACCACCGCTACCTTGCCGAGTTCGCTGTTGGCGACAAGCGCAAGACCTCTGCCGACAAGTCACTTGAGGCTTACAAGGCCGCCACCGAGGTTGCCGCCTCCAGCCTGGCCCCAACTCACCCCATTCGTCTCGGACTTGCCCTCAACTTCTCCGTTTTCTACTACGAGATCCTCAACTCGCCCGACCAGGCTTGCCAATTGGCCAAGCAGGCTTTCGACGATGCCATTGCTGGTATGTGCAGGATGCGAATTTCCATAGACAAAGCTAACGTCAACACAGAGCTCGACACCCTGTCTGAGGAGAGCTACAAGGACTCTACCCTCATCATGCAGCTCCTCAGGGACAACCTGGTAGGCCTTTGATGTGGACTTTTGTTGCAATTCAAATGCTAATCAATTCTAGACCCTCTGGACATCGTCCGAGGCCGAGCCCTCTGGTGACGCCCCTGCCGCCGAGCCCGCTACCGATGCGCCCAAGGCTGAGAGCAGCGAGGCTCCCGCTGAAGCCAAGGCATAAAGTCGAAAACATGATATCAGACGCAAAAACGGCAGGGGTTAATGGTACGGTGTATCGCGGTAAGAGTCAATGATGTCTTAGTCATCATTTTCTGGTGGCATCAAGGGTATATCCTAGCGTGCTCCAGGCCGGGTGCGCTTTGTTAGACTCTGAATTTCCATCCTGTCCACACTTCATGCACCCAAGGCTCTTTTCATTGTCCTGTCCACTCCCACCAGTATGCGTCATATATGGTCACGTCTTGTATGTTCCTCACCGTTCAGGGTTGCCCCGGTCTAAGACTTAGATGTTGACGTCAACGTTCATTTTTGGCATGGTCAGAGAGTGTAGTAGATGCTCATTCCGGTTCTGCGATTTCCCACAAATCCCCTCAGAAGGCTTATAATTCAAGACTATTTGCTTCTTTTCAGAGACTGTCCAGGGACACATGACCAGACATGACGTGATGTCTATTGCAAAGTGAAGTACTGACTTGTAGGATGGTATAATGATGTGGAATGAGATAGATAGAGGTCGCTAGGCACGTGGGACGAGAAATAGTGAGTGCTGAGTACTGAGGATGTGGCATGTTACTTAGGCTGATTAGTGCGTATCTGGAAACAGGTAGATGAACAGGCTTGGCTGAGAGATGGATCGAGTGGCAAGTAGAGAAACAGAGTCACAAGCTCAAAGTCTGAATTGTGTATACGAAATTGGAATGCTCATATTTCTGAACAAGAAAAAACCACAGCCTTGGTCTGTATTTAGATGTACATAGTTCCCCACCCCACTTTATTTTCACGTGCATGTAATTCCCCATCTACTCTACGCGTGCCACAGCCTGGCCACAGCCTCGGTGATACCAACATCGTTAGTCTCGAAGGAATAGAGGGCGATACCAAGAGTGACGGTTCCGATGCGGAGAGCCCACATGGAGAGGTTGCGAAGGAGGGGCACTCGCTTCTTAGGGAAGTAGTCGATGATGGATGCCCTAGACATGTTAGCCGGCCATTGATTTCTGGCAGGACTAGAGTTGAACATACTCGAAGCCAATGTGCGAGTGTATAACCAAGAGAGCGCAGAGAATCGAGTCAGTAAGTGGGTTTAGCGATCCAGCAGCAAAGGGAGCAATGGTTAAGGGAATGAGACCGGCGGAGACGATCCTGTGCCACTGTCAGTTTGTGGTCCCACATCACATGAGGCAAGAGTTGCAATCATCCTCTTGCAGCTCGTCAAGCATACCTTTCGAAACTCCAGTGGTAGCTGCCATGGGCATAGTCTGGCTCTGGTACAGGCACAGGATCATTGGTGGTTCCGACAATCTTCTGGGGCAGCGGGGGCAGGATCTGGTTGCGCTGGGTGGCGTGGAAGGCGGCGACGCGCGTGGACTGGGGAATGGCTGAGCGCTGGAAAGCTGGGCGAAGTTGGTGGGCGAGTGGGCGGTTGATGGTGGAGCTGGCCGTCGACAGCATGCGGTGCGCTGCTTGAGGCTTGGTGTAAGCTTGCCTGAGGAGGCCGGGGCGCATAAAGGAAGCCATTGCAGTGGTTGGAGAGGGGCAGCTGGCAGGGGGCAGATGCAGTGGAAGTAGGAGGTCGCAAGACGATATCTCGGGACGGTCGAACAGATGTTGACGACAATGCCTCGGATGAGCGATGCTGACGTCCCTGCGGCGCTCATTGGCCAGCGGCGGGAATCGGAAGTCCCGTGACAGCAGATTTCGAACGTCAATCAACCTCACCTAGGGCCAAGAAGTTGCAGCTTCGACGAATCTCAACCCCAACCCCCCATCACCGCCCCATCTCCATTCCTCCCCTGCACAGCGAGCAGACGCAATGGCTTCCCGGCGGCTCGCACTCAACCTGCAGCAGAGCATGCGCTCTCGCTCCGCCATCAACGCCGTCAAGTCATCGAGACAGTCGCCTTTGACACGAGGCCTGGCCACGCCCATTTCCTACGGCGCAAAGACCGAGTCGACCACGCTCAAGAATGGCTTCACGGTATGCCGCAAACGTTGCCAACTCGCAGGACTGCAATTGACCCCAGTGTGCAGATTGCTACCGAGCACTCCCCGTGGGCCCAGACCTCCACCGTCGGTGTGTGGATCGACGCAGGAAGCCGCGCAGAGACGGACAAGACCAATGGAACTGCACACTTCTTGGAGCATCTTGCTTTCAAGGTACGGATACGCGGATGCGCGGCGGGCCGCCAATGGCAGTGCGGGGCGACAGGACGCTGATGTAAAGACAAACAGGGCACCCAGAAGCGCACGCAGCAGCAATTGGAACTTGAGATTGAGAACATGGGCGGGCACTTGAACGCCTACACCTCGGTACGTTGCGCCTGATGGGGGACGCATCTGGACGCCGCATATTGATGACGTGACAGCGCGAAAACACCGTCTACTACGCCAAGGCTTTCAACAACGATGTCCCCGCCGCCGTCGACATTCTCTCTGATATCCTCCAAAACTCCAAGCTCGAGCCTGCCGCCATTGAGCGCGAACGTGATGTCATTCTCCGCGAGCAGGAAGAGGTCGACAAGCAGCTCGAGGAGGTCGTTTTCGACCACCTCCATGCCACCGCTTTCCAGGGCCAGCCCCTCGGCCGCACCATCCTCGGACCCAAGGAGAACATCCAGAGCATCCAGCGCGCCGATCTCGAGAACTATATCAAGACCAACTACACTGCTGACCGCATGGTCCTTGTCGGTGCTGGTGGCATTCCCCACGAGCAGCTCGTCGACCTTGCCGAAAAGTACTTTGCCAACCTGCCCTCTGAGCCCCAGGACTACTCTGCCAAGTCTCTTGCCGCTGAGCAGAAGCAGAAGCCCGACTTTGTTGGATCCGAGGTTCGTCTCCGTGATGACACCATGGGTACCGCCAACATTGCCATTGCCGTTGAGGGTGTGAGCTGGAGCGACCCTGACTACTTTACTGCGCTCGTCACTCAGGCTATCGTTGGCAACTGGGACCGCGCCATGGGTACCTCTGACTACCTTGGTAGCAAGCTCAGCAACTTTGTCTCCCAGCACGGCTTGGCCAACAGCTTCATGAGCTTCTCCACCAGCTACTCTGACACTGGGTATGTTACTGAACAAGTATTTTTGGAGGAATAATGCTAACACGTCATAGTCTCTGGGGTATCTACCTCAACAGCTCCAACCTGACCCAGCTTGACGACCTTGTCCACTTCACCCTCCGCGAGTGGACTCGCCTTTCCATGAACGTCAGCTCCGCCGAGGTTGAGCGCGCCAAGGCCCAGCTCAAGGCCTCCATCCTTCTTGCTCTTGACGGCACCACTGCCGTTGCCGAGGACATTGGTCGCCAGATTGTCACTACCGGCCGCCGGTTATCACCCGAGGAGGTTGAGCGCGTTGTTGGCCGCATCACAGAGAAGGATGTGATGCAATTCGCCCGCAACAGGCTATGGGACAAGGACGTTGCCATTTCTGCCGTTGGGCAGATTGAGGGTCTTTTGGACTACAACCGTATCAGGAACGACATGAGCAGGATGCTTTCATAAGCTTATGTGTGTGTAAGTAAGAGGAGAAAAGTAGGGGGGAGTGTGTCGTGTGTGTGTCGGTGTAGAGTTATAGAGTTGGCAGCTGTGAGCGTTTTTCTCCCAACAGCATGCGAGACCTGTATTTTGTGTACACTTATGTCGAATTTGACAAAGAAGATTTTAATATTTGTCTCTTTTGAGTGATTGTGATTGTGATTATGATTGTGATTGTGGATGTCTTTGTGATCAGTGTTGTATAGGCTGTGTGAGGGGGATGTGAATGTGTTATGGTGCATTGCAGCAGCTGAAGACGGTAAGAAGGGAAGGCGTGTGGATGATTGCTAGGCAATGAGATAGATCGTTCAACTGGTTAGGGGGTATGTGTGTACTTAGTAGTGAGAGATGGAACTTCGCAAGTCCAACTTAGTTACCCCCTGTCTAACAAGCAAGAGAAATCTAATGTGTAAGCTACTTCGTATATGACAAAGAAGATACGAAGAATGGTAAGTTATAGTTCAATCCATCTTCTCCCCCCCCCCCCCCCCGTTTACCAACGAAACGTAACATTCGAAATATAGAAGCCCAATTCAGTTTTACACTAAATTTCTTTCAACCCATCGATTTCGCTCGAAGGGGAGAGAAAGGGGGGGGAGTGGTGGTTGGTTTCAAGTTTTAGTGCTGTAAAAAGCCTTCTTATTTATCTTCTACTCAAACTGAAACTCCTGCACTAACTTTAGAAGACCAAAAAAAATAAATGAAAAATAACTGCGTATCTAGACATTTCAGATAGTCTGTACAAGCCAACAACGAGCCATATATATATATATATATATTCATAATCTAAATCCTTTTAGGTTGGACGTTTTTCACCAAACATGATTCCAGTGTCTACTCTCTCTCTCTCTCACATCTTGTATGCACCATACTTCTTCCCTTCACATTTCCGCTTTTTGTCTCCTTTTTTTAGATGCTTCGAGTGATTTTGTAATACTCACCATTACACCAACAAGATGTATTATTTTACCTTGCTTTTAGAAGGGGAGAGAGAAGCAATCATATAGGTGCGTAAGTCTATGACATTGAGTCATATCCGATCCGACTTAAACCGTTATATATGCAATGTACTTCCGCAATAACAGTCTTTATAGAAACTAGCACTTATGTTCCTGGTACAAGAACTTGGGGGTTGGGGTTGGGAGTAAATATTTCGTATCCATCTACATACACCCTGTACAATTTTTTTTCTCCTTACGGGGAAAAGACGTGTTTTTCCTTCATTAGCATGCATAGATACCGTAATCAAGAACGTTCAATCTCACGACTAAGTAAAAACAAAATTATGTGTAGACGTGGTAAAAACAGGAAAAAAAATTAAAGTTAAACATGGCACCTCGTAAACCCAGACACCGCAAATTGCAAGGACAGGAAGTATAAAATGTACCCTATTCCATTTCCTCCTTAGTAGTTAGTAGTGGTAACATTCAAATTTCATCTGCATTCTTCTTAGGTGTAGACTACCT